CGCAGCTCTACCCTGGAGTTTGGTTCGTATCGGATGATCTTTACACGAGTTACCGTGACCTCGCATCGCAGACGGACGGGCATAGCCGGTGTGTACATGATGTCATCGGTGCCACTCGCTATCAGCACTTGCCCCAACAGCACTTGCCCCAACAGTCTGTTCAGGCTATACGGGGGGATCTTTGTCTTTATACTTGATTTCAACATTATCTGGGAAGCGTAAATACTGCATTCACTTACACGGCACGACGGCGAAGACGTTTCCATATTCGTGTCGATGTTGATATATAGGCCTCGAGCCCTTTTTATTATTACACGCTTTCTATTAACTCAGGGGTCGGCAACCAAAATAACAAGAAGAGCCATTTCTTTCCAATTCGGTACAAAATTCAGTATTTCAAGAGCCGCAATGCATCTGAGTACATACGTACTCATCGTCAAGAAGCAGCCTGTAAAGAGCCGCATGCGGCTCCGGAGCCGTAGGTTGCCGACCCCTGTATTAACTCACCTCTTGTTGTTGTCGTTGTATCCTCAAATTTTGTAACACAATTTTAACCAACTTCCCAATATGGTATCGACTGCAAACTTGGTATACTTATGTCATGCTGATGATAATACTATAAAATGTAAACAATATTTTTAATGTTATGTTTCGGCTTGGGTCTAATTGTCCACGCTCAACTAACGTTGGCTGTAAATCACCATGGCCCCTTACGTTGTGGCAAGCTTCGGGGCCCACTTCCTGGAGTTCTTCCATTACTAGTATGGTACATTTCATTAAAGCGTGTTTTAAAAAAAAGTTTTAAAAAATATTACTTATTTATGTTACGTTGAGGTGGTTCATGAGACAGCTGATGGCGTCAGGTGTGGGCGCATCGCTGTGATGATGCCGCCTTATCCGCCTCCTGCTCCGTGTCTGTGTATCGTAGATATCGAGTCGCGAGACGTCCCCCACGGTTCTGTGGTGGGTGGGCTGACCACAGTCTCCGCGCACGCTGCGGGAGAATGTGTACATCTCCCATGTGTGCATCAACCACATCATCATCATCGTCGTCGTCATCATCAGGAATCTGCATCTGCTGCTGCCATGGTTTGTGCAGTGGATGTGGCTCAGGGTTTGTGGCCTCAGAAGCTTCTGGGCAGAAGGTCTCAGCCAGAGATCTTCTGCGTCTTCGGGTCTTTCACGAGGAGGTGTTTGTGACTCCTCGTCAACTCCATTCACAACCCCCTGGGGGTGCGAGATGCCCTTTCTGGGGGGTAGCGAGACACGGCCAGATTTTTTTTGAGACGGCAAATCATCGAAAACACAAATGAAGCACGGGCACCGTATAAGTAACCACTTTGTGTTTCACCAAATCCCTACGTATTTATGAACATTATACTTTTTTTTTACGACTGACAACCAAAGGCTGCAGTAGAGGTCAAGGGCCGCTGGGCGAGAGCCTGGCTGTGAAACTTTAATTTGAATGCGCCGGCTGCGATAGGTCTCGACGTGGCATCGTTGAGTAAAGCGTTCAGTGTCGGTCACGGTGCTTGCTACGCAGCCCAGGCAGGGAGCGAGGGGGCCGAGTCACTTCGCCAACAGCTGCGCGGAGGGGTTAGGGCCGTGGCACTCACCCCACTCAGACAACCTCCACCCCACCACCACCACCTCCCCACTGACAATTCCCCTTTCTGGTCACTTTCTTTTCTGGCCGGGAATCTTTACTGTCAGGCATTTATAATGATTTAGGGGCGCCACGGTGGCTCGGAGATGTTAACTACCTCGCCTGGTATGCAGGAGGTCGTGGGTACGATTCCGACCCTGACGCCTGCTGTATGTTTGGAGTTTGCACGGTGGCTAGGAGATGTTAACTATACCTCGCCTGCTATGCAGGAGGTCGTGGGTTCTATCTCGACCCTGACGCCTGCTGTGTATTTGGAGTTTGCGTGGTGGCGAGATGTTAACTACCTCGCCTGGTATACAGGAGGCGTGGGTTCGATCCCGACCCTGACACCTGCTGCATATTTGGAGTTTGCATGATGAAGATATGTTACCTACTTCGCCTGGTATACAGGAGGCGTGGGTACGATTCCGACCCTGACGCCTGCTGTATATTTGGAGTTTGCACGGTGGCTCGGAGATGTTAATTCCCTCGCCTGCTATGCAGGAGGTCGTGGGTTCTATCTCGACCCTGACGCCTGCTGTGTATTTGGAATTTACGTGTCTCTCTCTCCCTCCCCGTGGTCGCGTGGATTTTTCTCCGGGTCCTCCGTTTTTTCCTCCACATTTAGAATCAACATCACGCGTTAGAGTCTTTGGCAGCAATAAATGTCCACATGATACGCCGCTTCGTTGAGCTGTCATTTGTGGCCAGGTCGCTTCTGAAAAGTTGCTATATAGCCCAGTGGGCCTTACCTGGTAACATAAAACATGGTTAGTTAAATAGTTACCACAGCACACACCGGTTACTAACCACTGGTTTATACCGTAATAACTGAGCTTGCATCTAAGAAGTGCTTGTATGCATATCACATACCTGCCAACCCCTTATCAGTGCCTACCTCATTACAGACCAATTCAGACCTCATTGGTTACCCCGTGCCCTGAGAAATCTCAACGTTCATCCGACAAAGTCCCATGACAAGGGAGAAACACGGACACATGTTTTAGTTTGCCCGTAATGAAACGGCTGTAGCCCCGTTTGAACCTGAACATTCAATTTCCCTGCACAGGAATACGGGGTAAACCGTATGGGCTGACACGGTACGTTGTCGGCGCGCACTCCTGGACTATGCACACATTGAACGTGAACGCTTTGGACCGCAGTTCTGTAATGAGTCAAGTTTCTCTCGTAGGGGGCAATGCGCCCGAGCGCGCGAGACAAACGCCAGCCGATATAATTAGCCCGGGGCTTCATGGAGGTGGCGGTGGGTGTGGGAGACGGAGTCATTCGCTCCGCGGACGACGAGGCAGCCGCCACGTCTTCCCTCCCTCCCCTCTCTCCTGGCCTCCCGGTGTGTCCAACACCTTTTGTGTTGTGGCGAGGGACCATCGCCGCGGAGATGGAACGTTGGCGGAGCGGTGGAGCGTGTAACAAGGCGAGATAGCAACTCCGGTGTCAGATGCTGCTGGTGGTTGTGATAGAAGGTGGGTGGCGTGTGAGTGACTTCTTTTTTTGAGGAGTTTGCCGAGCACAGGCTCAAAACGTCGAGCGGCCAGCAGCAAGCAGCACGACTAATAATAATACGTTGTAACGAATAAGAGTGGATGGAACGCGTGTCTTGCATTGAGTGAGGTTATTATTGGAGGAGCTTTGGGGGGGGGGGCGACAGAGACGATGGGAGGAGGAGGAGGGAATTCCACAGTGGAGCAGTGCGAGGGAAGAAGCAGAGGAAAGAAGTGAGGTGACCTGCAGTGTGGTGAGAGTGAGTGGGTGAGTGTGTGGGTGAGTGAGTGTGTTGTTGTGATCTGCAGTGTGGAGTGATCTGCAGTGTGGTGAGTGAGTGTGTTGTTGTGACCTGCAGTGTGGTGAGTGAGTGTGTAGTAGTGATCTGCAGTGTGGTGAGTCAGTGTGTTGTTGTGACCTGCAGTGTGGTGAGTGAGTGGGTGAGTGAGTGTGTTGTTGTGACCTGCAGTGTGGTGAGTGGGTCAGTGTTTTGTTGTGACCTGCAGTGTGGTGAGTGGGTGAGTGAGTGAGTTGTTGTGACCTGCAGTGTGGTGAGTGGGTGAGTGAGTGAGTTGTTGTGACCTGTAGTGTGGTGAGTGGGTGAGTGTGTTGTTGTGACCTGCAGTGTGGTGAGTGGGTGAGTGTGTTGTTGTGACCTGCAGTGTGGTGAGTGGGTGAGTGTGTTGTTGTGACCTGCAGTGTGGTGAGTGAGTGTGTGGGTGAGTGTGTTGTTGTGACCTGCAGTGTGGTGAGTGGGTGAGTGTGTTGTTGTGACCTGCAGTGTGGTGAGTGAGTGTGTGGATGAGTGTGTTGTTGTGACCTGTAGTGTGGTGAGTGAATGTGTGGTTGAGTGTGTTGTTGTGGGGAGCAGTAGTGTAGCAGTTAGCGCGCTGCGCTATGAACCCGACAATCCGGGTTCGATTCGCGCTCACAGGCCAACACCAGTGACGATTATCTGAACCGGTCCTGGGCCTCCCCTAAGTCGACTCAGCCTCAAATGAGTACCTGGTGCGGTGTGTAAACATCGCCACTGGAGAGACAAAGGCGGTCGGGCGTGGTGCTGGCCACCCACCCCCTCGTATACCGTTCCGGTCTTCATAATTGTTCGCTAACAGAACTTGCCCCTACAATCTGTTAAGGCTATACGGCGGATCTTTGTCTTTTTTTTGTTGTGACCTGCAGTGTGGTGATTGAGTGGGTGAATGGGTGAGTGAGTCAGTGAGTGATTGTGTTGTTGTGACCTGCAGTATGGTGTCTGGGTGAACGAGTGTGTGGTTGAGTAAGTGTGCTGTTGTGACCTGTAGTGGTGAGTATGAGTGAACGAGTGGGTGGGTAGGTGAGCGAGTGTGTGGGTGAGTGTGTTGTTGTGACCTGTAGTGGTGAGTATGAGTGAACGAGTGTGTGGTTGAGTGAGTGTGTTGTTGTGACCCGTAGTTTGGTGTGTGAGTGAGCGAGTGAGTGGGTGAGCGAGTGTGTGGGTGAGTGAGTGTGTTGTTGTGACCTGTAGTGGTGAGTATGAGTGAACGAGTGGGTGGGTGAGCGAGTGTGTGGGTGAGTGAGTGTGTTGTTGTGACCCGTAGTGTGGTGTGTGAGTGAGCGAGTGGGTGGGTGAGGGTGTTGTTGTGACATGCAGTGTGGTGAGTGTGTGGGTGAGCGTGTGGGTGGTTGAGCGAGTGTGTGGGTGAGTGAGTATGTTGTTGTGACCTGTAGTGGTGAGTATGAGTGAACGAGTGGGTGGGTGAGTGTGTTGTTGTGACCTGCAGTGTGGTGAGTGTGTGGGTGAGCGTGTGGGTGGTTGAGCGAGTGTGTGGTTGAGTGAGTGTGTTGTTGAGTGAGTGTGTTGTGACCTGCAATGAGGTGAGTATGCGGGTGAGTGAGTGTGTGGGTGTGTTGTGACCTGCAGTGTGGTGAGTGAGCGAGTGTGTGGGTGAGTGTGTTGTTGTGACCTACAGTGAGGGAAAAAAGTATTTTATCCCCTGCTGATTTTGTACGTTTGCCCACAGACAAAGAAATGATCAGTCTATAATTTTAATGGTAGGTTTATTTGAACAGCGAGAGACAAAATAACAACAAAATCCAGAAAATCGCATGTCAAAAATGTTATAAATTGATTTGCATTTTAATGAGGGAAATAAGTATTTGACCCCTCTGCAAAACATGACTTAGTACTTGGTGAGAAAACCCTTGTTTGCAATCACAGAGGTCAGACGTTTCTTTCTTGTAGTTGGCCAACAGGTTTGCACACATCTCAGGAGGGATTTTGTCCCACTCCTCTTTGCAGATCTTCTCCAAGTCATTAAGGTTTCGCAAATCAATTTATAACATTTTTGACATGCGTTTTTCTGGATTTTGTTGTTGTTATTCTGTCTCTCACTGTTCAAATAAACCTACCATTAAAATTATAGACTGATCATTTCTTTGTCAGTGGGCAAACGTACAAAATCAGCAGGGGATCAAATACTTTTTCCCTCACTGTATGGGGGAGTGGTAGTGTAGTTGTTAGCGCGCTGCGCTACAAACCAGGAAAACCGTGTTCGCTTCCGTCTCACGGCCAACACCAGTGACGTTTATCTGAACCGGTCAATGGCCTCCCCTCGGTCGACCCAGCCTCAAATGAGTACCTGGTGTGCTATGTAAACATCGCCACTGGGGAGACAAAGGCGGTCGGGCGTGGTGTTGGCCACCCACCCCCTCCTGTGCCGTTTCGGTCTTCATAGGTGCTCGCTAACAGCACTTGCCCCAAAAGTATGTTAAAGGCTATACGGGGGATCTTTGTCTTTGTTGTGACCTGTATTATGGTAAGTGTGTGGGTGAGTGTGTGGGTGAGTGTGCTGTGGTGACATGCAGTGGGGTGAGTTTGATGAGATGAAACAGTGTCTGGTAGACAATGATGTGTGAGTGATGTGGGGACATCGTGACAATCCGGTCCTGTACCGTCGTGGGGGGCTGAAGGGGGGCCAAGCCCCCCCCCCCGCCAACTTGCTGAAGAATCAGCTCCCCTTCTATATTCCCTCAATATTTAAAACCGGTTGCCGTTATTATTTGGCCGTCCCACAGCAAGGGGTGAGCGCTCGACCAAATCCGACCGCATCAACGCTGTTAGTGTCCTCCCTGCCCGGCCTTCCCCCACCCTCCACCCCCGAATTCGTGTGCCCCCTCCCCCCCCCCCTTTCTTTAAGCAAGGTCACGCTCAGGGCTGCGACCGTGCCTCTGCGGCCTGCTCGCGCCCGCTCATCTCATCGTGAGCCACGGCACCTGCGGATTAATCTCAGCCGGGGTCTCTCTCGGTCGGAGTCCCATGACATCTTTAGGCACCAGGCACACTACATCCAGTATACCCTTTACCGTGGCTCTAGCCTGCCACGAGTCACGTGCCACATGCTCCAGTCGACAAAGTGACCTGGGAAATATTCAGCCGAAAATTAAGCCCTGCGGTGTAATGTGAATAAATATATTGTTGTTATTATTTTACAGCTTCATTGTCAATCCACTGCCGTGTTGGTCACTGGAGTTGTTTGGCCATGCTTCACCGCGCTGGTCAGTGTGGGGTTGATGAATGGGGCTCAGACATCACTCGCTGTGGCCGGGCATCGAACTTACATCGCCGGATTGTAATCGCGAGGAATCTGGGAACTCTCTTGCAGCTCACCGGCGCGTCGTCGTGTGGCAATTAAAATCGCTTGGCTGTGTCGGGGGGTAGCGGTGGAGGGTTTTACGACACCAACTTGACGAGACTGTCATTGTGCTGCTCCACCCGAGGTTGGCCGATGAATCGTGACATCGGCTGCAAAATACACAAGTGTTGTTACCCGCGTTGTTATTTTATATTTAATATGCCGTCAGGATTTGGTTAAACTCGCAGCCGTGGCGTTGACCAAGCGTGACTCTAATTTCGTCGACGATAACAACAATGACAAGATAACCGACCGTCCGAATAAAACGTGAGCCCGACGATGAATGACTCAACCCGCTCGGGCTCGCCATCGTGGTGCCTCCGCGCGCTTGGCGGCTCATGGCGATTTCTATAAATACTCCGAGTGAGCCGAGCGCATACCCGCGTCGCCGTTACCAAAACTCTCGGGCACTGTACGAGCGACGATATTGAGTTGCAGGCGGGCGCAAAGCTTTCGCGATGGGGGTGGGGGGGGATCGGAGTGGCCGCTGGATATTTTGGCCTCTGCATGTTTATTCATTTTTCAGGGAAACCTTTGCACGACTGCATGCGAATCTGTGCACGAGATATCCGGCGAGCTGCAGCGAACGTACGTGCGGATTGAGAGTTGTGACTTGGTGCCACGCTGCTGCAGCGACGGCGGTGGTGGTGGCTGCAGCGCATTGCTGCCTAGGATTCGCTACGGAGCTTCGGGTAAGGCTTCTCAATCCCTCCCCCCCCCCCGTTATTGTCACCCCTCACCAGCCGCCTTGTCTGTCGCTCCGACTAAAGGCCAACACTGTGGGTGACATGTCCTCAGTGGCGGTCGGAGACTCCGCCGAGCACTCGGTGGGAACGAGCAAGGAACCCAGCGTCTCCGAAATTCACGGCCCATCCGACGGCTCCAGGGCCACGCCAACCGAGTGGGCCTACGTGGAGATCAGAGAGGCGTCCCCCGACCGCTCGGAGTGGGCAGGCGCGCGGGGCGGCGATGCGGCGCGCGGCTCGGGAAGCGGCGGCGATGTAGGACGGGGGGCGGCGCTCACGAGTGAAGGCGGCGAGGTCAAGCCCGCGGCAGAAGTGGCAACGAGCCGCGGCGGGGACATGGGCATCGTGGCGAGCTCCACGGACGACGAGTCTATCGTCTATCACGACACGCTCACGCCCGAGGAGGCGCAGCTAGCTGCCGGTCGCTACAGTGAAGAAGATGCGCCAGACGGGACGGCGGATTGGCGGGATGGCGGCGAGCGCGTGCCGGATGAGACGACAGATCAACGGGATGGTGGCGAGCACGTGCCGGATGAGACGACAGATCAACGGGATGGTGGCGAGCACGTGCCGGATGAGATAGTAGATCGGCGGGACAACGGCGAGCGCTTGCCGGATGAGTCGGCCAATCGGCGGGACAACGGCGAGCAAGTGACGGATGAGACCACGTGCCGGATGAGATAGTAGATCGGCGGGACAACGGCGAGCGCTTGCCGGATGAGTCGGCCAATCGGCGGGACAACGGCGAGCAAGTGACGGATGAGACGGCGAATCGGTGGGATGGCAGCGAGCGCTTGCCGGATGAGTCGGCCAATCGGCGGGACAACGGCGAGCGAGTGACGGATGAGACGGTGGATCGGCGGGTCAACGGCGAGCGCTTGCCGGATGAGTCGGCCAATCGGCGGGACAACAGCGAGCGAGTGCCGGATGGGACAGCGAAGCGGTGGGATGGCAGCGAGCGCTTGCCGGATGAGTCGGCCGATCGGTGGGACAACGGCGAGTGCTTGCCGGATGAGTCGACCAATCGGTGGGACAACGGCGAGCGAGTGCCGGATGGGACAGCGGATCGATGGGACGGTGGTGAGTGCACGCCAGACGAAACGGCAGATCAGCGGGATGGCAGTGAGCACACTCCAGATGGGATGGCGGATCGGTGGGACGGCGGTGAGGAACTGGAACAGAGTGAAGCGGCAGATGCCTTAAATGAGCGCCGGAGCAGTGGTGCTGCCCGTGTGAGTGACGGCGACGCTCCAGCAGAAGATGGAGTCAGTGACAGAAACTCAAGCGGGGAAGCAGTGGCAGCGGCAGTGCAGGATGTCTCGCCTGACTCGCCCGACTCACCCTCACTCGACCCGCCCTCGCTCGACTCACCCTCGCCCACCAGCTCGGCGGACCACGAGCTGAATCACGCACGGGGAGAGGCAGGCAATGCGAGCGAGGTGAACTTCATCACCACGCACGAGATCAACATCGGCGACCCAGAGCGGCGCCTCGGAAGCCAGGACATGTGGAGCTTCGCGAGCGGCGAGCGCTGCATGATGAGCCACGACGCAAGCCGAACCACAGAGACGACGGTGGGCAGCGCCGGCATTGGTGCGTCGCCGGTGCCGGCACGGGACTCGGTGGCCGGGTCAGCGGCGGGCGAGTCCGTGCACGAGAGCTCGGTAACGTGGGTGCCCACCTCACCGCTGTCGGCCGAAGAGCCACGGGATTATTACATCACCGTGGAATGCCGTGGCCTGGCGAAGGAGGAGACGCGCAGCGGAGGGGCAGAGAAGATTGAGAATTGTGTAGGGGGCGGGAGAGGCAGCGCGGGGGAACTTGAGGAGGCGGCAGGCGGCCCCATACAGGTGGTCAGCCCCAGCTACGGCGGCGACGGGGCCGAGAAGGGATGTCGCTCGGCGCTTTTGACGATGGACGGATTTGAGTGGAGGGCAGAGGAACAGAAGCTGAGCGTGAGCGCCGATTCATCCAGCGAGGCCAGCACCGCCGCCAGCTCAGCAACTGTGGGCGGCCTAGATGAAGACACATGGATGGTTGGCGACGCCGGTTGCGGGAAGCTGTTGGTGTCAGAGTTTGCGTCGATCACACCGCCAGGCATCACCATCGAAGAACTTGACGATGACGACGATGGTGCCGACGAGTTAGGAGGTTTCGGCAAAATTCCCACTGACGTCATCTGCTGTGACCCCCCTCGTGGCAGCGGAGAGATGTTCGCCACCGCCGCTGATGATCGAAGGGAAAATGCTCGCGGGGGCCGCGACGATGACGAGGGTCGGGGGCCGAATCCCCCACGTGTTGGAGACGTAACGCACAGTGGCGCGAACGGCTACGCAAGCGACGCCTCCAGCGGCGGGGTGGATGACGTGGACAACGAGGTGCGCAGCCTAACCGCGAAGGCCTTCCGGAGCCTGTCGTGCCCCTATGAGCCATACCCGGAGAAGGCCGTGCCGGCACCCAGCTCTCCCATCGATGCCAATCCGGGCGCCATCTGGTTTCCCGATGACGACATTTCGCTCAACCGCTGGCCGACATACGTCGACTTGGGGCTGCGCGACGAGGTAACGGTCAACGTCGCATCGGACGCCGGTGCTCACGTGGCTAATGGGAGAATCATCACGACGGTGACGCGGGCTGATGGGACGTTTGCGCGGTGCAGCGGCAGGTCCGCGTCGAGCGGGAGAGAGAACGTCAGGGGCGGCGGTGGTGGTTCGGAGCAGACGCAGGTGACGGGCACCGTGATGAAACGCTCCGTGGTGTTGAGACAGAAACAGGAGTTGCATCAGCGGCATCAGCAACAGCAGGCGGCTGTGGTGACGTTGGAAAGGGAGTTTGAGAATTCACAGGAGGACACGGTGAAGATGCACATCGAGGACAACGTGACGTTCTCGTGCAGCATGCACTCGCACACGCAGGAGAAGAGAAGTGCCTGCTATAGCAGGCAGCAGCAGGAGCAGGTGCAGCTGCAAGTGCACCATCAGCATTTCTCACAGAGCCGACAAACGTGGAGCAGCAATGATGCGAGCGAAGTCATCGCCGCGCACGCCCCGGACGACAGCGACGCGGACGCGGCGGCACGCGTGACCAACGGCAAGCCAGCCGGTCACGCCAAGCAGGCATCCAGCATCCTGAAGAACGTCATCTCAAAGAAGATGCAGCTGGAGCAGGAGCTGAGGATGGAGAGGGGGGAGTTGAGGGACACGAGCATGATGGTGGAATGCGCGGAGTTGCGATTCACCGGCAGAGTTGCGGGAATCGACGCCACGGCTGCAAATGGTGATGGAGGCGACCCAGGCGAGGGACGAGATTGCGGTGGGTTTGCCAACTCCGCAGGAGCGGATGTTTGTTCCGGTCCTGTGCCGCCTGATGAGATGCAAGTGAAGCCGGCGAGCCGTCGCCATCCTCATCATCGTCATCGTCATCATCGTCACACAGCGGAGGTCGAGGATGGAAAAGACGACAGTGCTAAGATGGACAGGGTTGAGAAAAAGGGGAATGGACAGGGCAATGAAGAGGGTAATGAACAGGGAAATGGACAGGGAAATGGACAGGAAAATAAACAGGGGAATGGACAGGGAAATGGACAGGGAAATGAACAGGGGAATGGGCAGCGGAATGGGCAGGGAAATAAGAGGATGCTGGGAGGCGAATTGACCATGGATACAAATGTTCGGGGTAAAACTAAAGCTTCAGAAGGACAGACGCGCAGCACGGGGAAATCTAAGAGAGGCGCCTCTGGAAAAGCGACGGTGTCGAGAAACATCTTCCTGCACAGCGAGCACAGCGCATTTCGCTCGTGGAGACAACGACGCGGGGAGCAGCGGCACGGCAGGGAGCAGACCGTATCGCTAGCGCAAGTTGTGGTGCAAGATGCGCGGCAGCAAACGATCCAAATCGACATTCCGCACCACGGCACCGGGAGAAGGAATGAAATCGCCCTCCCGCCGGAAGATCTGCCCGGAAGGAATGAATACTGCTCCTTCGCCGGCCCCGAAGAGGAGGAGGCAGCGCCTGCGGCTCCACGCGTTCGGCACGGCGGCGGCGGCTCTTGCTCCGCCGCATCGCCCGAGCACGACGTTGGCACGGGCGGTGGCGACAACGGCGGGAAACTCGCGGACGGCGGGAAACTCGCGGACGGCGGGGGCGCACACACCACGCTGCGGGCCGAGGTGCGCGTCGACCGCGCCGACGGCGATTGCGCCAAGCGGCCGAGCAGCGCATCTCAGGATGACAATCGAGACTCCGGCGACCGCCGACCTCCTCCTGCATACGCCACCTACAAGAGCAACAACACGCTTTACATCGGCGACACGACCAAGGCTGTGGTGATGTCCTGCTCCCCCGAGATCAAGATCAGCCTGCGGAAGACGGGCAGCGACGCCAAGACAAGCCCGTTCAGCATTGCCAAGCTCCTGACGCCCAACATCGCCGCGGAGCCAGTCGCCCAAAATGGCCCCGGAGCGGAGGGGGCTCGGGCGGGCGAGACAAGGCCCGCGGCGAGCTACACGCTCCCGGCCATTTTCAAAATCGAGCCGGTGGAGATGGCAGTGCCGGTGAGAGTGGAAGAGAAACCAAAGTTCCAAGCGCCGCTCCACCAGGTGCGTGACGTCCGCAAGCTCGTCAAGAGCACGTACCCAACCGCCCGCGTCGAGCCGAGCGAAGTTGCGGGCTCCCACCGTGGGCCGGCGACGCAGACGGTGATGCACATGGGAGGGGCGGCCGCGGTGGCGGTCTCGGGACTGGCAGAACGAGAGCGGACGAGCCAGCTACAGCCCGTGAACTTGTGGCCCAACGCGGGCCGCGGAATCGGGGCCATACCGCCGCTCATCATCAACTGCAAGTCGATCACGAGGAAGGAAGGTGGTGAGGGCCAAGACGCTAACGGTAATGATGGAGGGAGCAATTGCAGCAGCAGCAGTGGCAGCGTCAGGGCGGTGGTGATACCGGCGGCGGCGGTGGTGGCGGCGGTGAGGGAGGTGGAGAAGGAGTGTAAACGGGAGAGCGAGCCGCCACCCTACCGTCTCGTAGCCAAGTCCTCAGACACATCACCGTCTGTTCAGCTTGACCACCCGGCGTGGCCGCCGTGCTCCCTGTCATGGACACCGAAGCCAGAAGAGGTCAAGAAGCTGGCAACGGTCGCCAAGACCGACGTGCTCGCCGACGGTGACGGGCCCCAAGGGAGCCGCTCGCCAGAAGGTGCGCGGCACGCTCCCAAAAGCCGGCAGGCAGTGGAGATGCCATCGGCAGCGGCGTGGTCCACAAGCAACACGTGCTTGGCGCATGAGCAGAATGAGGGGAAGAGATGGCAGCAGGGTGCCCAGGGCCCCACGCAGGGCAGCCACGTTCAATCGCTCATCGCCTCCCTCGAGGAGGACGCCAAGGGGAAACTCAGATCTGCTCCAGCGGTGGAAGACAGCGCGGCGGAGTGCGACGGGAGACCGAGTTCTGCACTGGAACGGTCGAGTCGCCAGCAGCGGCCTGAGCAACGGGAGCAGCTGCAGGCACGGCCGCAACCGGCACAAGAGCTGCCAAAACCACAGCAGCCAAGTGAAATGTTCGACGCCACAAGCCGAGATGCGCCAGAGGAGGCAGATTCTCGTAAAGACGGGAATAAGCAAGACGAAAAACCGCCCGACGTGTTTCCACCGAACGACGGCAGAGCAGAGCTCCCGCATGCCAACGGAGAGAAAGCGGTGGAGAATCTCAAGGCGCAGTTTGCTGCCGAGGCCGGTAGTGACCCAGACGAGGGCCCTATTTGCGAGCTCTCCCTCACCTGCGTGCAGGGTCCGGTCCTCCTGGCAGAGCCAGAAGATCACCAACAAGGTCCCGCAGCCGTTCTCCACCATGCGTACGACGTCGGCCTCCGCGGTGCTCTCGGGCCTAGGCACGCATGCGGGAGACCAGGGCCAAAAGATGGTGATCCGATCGGTGAGACCGCCGTGCGCCGTACGCATGGACGAAGCCAAAATGGGGAACCTGGCGCAGGAAAATTCTCTCCAACAGCAGAAGCAGCAGCAGCAGCAGCCAGAGACACCAGGCCAAGTGGTGGCAGATAGCGAATACTACCTGACACTGCCAACTGCGTTGGAGAACGGCGGAGCAGCCAACTCCCAGACGTGCCTGGACAAGGAAGCGCCGCTGGTGACCACGCCGCCCAAAGTACCGCCAAAGACGTACAAGGATTTCAGTCAGGCAGGTGCCTTGGCCGGCAGCGGCGCCAGGCCGCACCCACCCCACCATCACCTCCAACACCGGCGCCAGCCACCGAGATCCTCCTCGAGCGACGAGAGAGTGAAGCGTGGCTCGATTGATAGCAGCGGGGCCAGCGGGAGCGGCAAAAGTACCCCAAGCACGAGCCCCGTCTTCGATTTAGGAAAAACTCAGAAGCCGGCGGTCATGCAACCGCTGATGTGCCCTCCATCGCCAATGATCCTGCAGCCCGTGCAGTGCCCTGGTTTCTCTGGTGCCGTGCCGGCGCCAATGCTGGTGCAAAACCACGGTGTGTCATCGTGCGAGGGCTCAGAGATGCCGGCGCAAATATCCTACGTGCAGCTGCCCGCCGTGCAGGCGCAACACAAGATGCTGATCGACCCAGAGACGGGGCAGTGCTACTGGGTGGAGACGCCGCCGCAGCCTCAGCGCAAGAGGCTTTACGACCCCGATACGCATCAGTACGTGGAGGTGGCGATCCCCCCGCACGGCCTGGCGATGCCCCCCAGCGCGGGTGGGGGTGCGATGTACCCTGCGCCACCACAGCTCATGCTGGCGGCATCGCCACACGTGCCGTACGGGTCGGCGTTTGTAATGTACCAGGGCGTCATGCCCACGCAGATGGCGGCAGCGGCGTCGCCCGGCTGTGAGTATTCCCAGCAGCAGATGCAGATGATGCACCTGCATATGATGCACAAAAGCCAGCAGCAGCAGCACTATCTCAACCAGAGTGTGCACGGCATCTCTTCAGAACCGCAGAGCCCTTTGGACAAACCGCTCTTCAAGGCCGCTCCAGACGAAGTCAGTGCTGCCAACGACCGGCCGTACTTCCTCCCGTCGGGCATGGTGCTGGCCCAGCCCCAGGCCGTGTACACGCTCCCAGCGACCTCGGCCGGCAGGTCAGCCAGGCGCGAGCGTAGACGCCAACCTGCCCAAGGGCAGCGGCGTCGCCTCCGAGTCGCCGCCGACGACGCAGGGCCCGCGCGTTGTGGCGCCGCCCCTATTCGACGGCACGATGATGAGCTTCGTGGTGGAGCACAGGTGAACGGGCAGCACGGGGAGGGACCGAGAGAGAGAAGGAGCGCCGGTGAGTTTCTCTCTGGCGTATGTCCCCCTACCGCTTGTGGCTATGGTTTTGGTACGGTGATTGTTTTGGAAAATGAGTGGAGTACAAAGCTAGAACGGGCTAGTCCGCTCTAGCTCTGTACTGCACTCTACAGGAGTAGCGACAGCAGGAGGACAAAACTAGACTGGCATGGCATGGGTCGTGACCTCCGATAGCATGGTTGTCTACGTACCGTTCGAAAGAAGTTCAGCATACAAACATACTGCGTGGTATGGAGACGCAGCTCAGTGTGAGGCATGCCGTTGCACTGCACCCCGTCTCACTTTCTGAAATTTTCAAGTTCTCTCCAATTCGCATTTTTCTCGGGGGGAATCCAAAACACGCGTCACGACCATGTGATGCTTGCCGGCCTTTCTGAGAATCTGCTGCACGACCGTACTTCACCCGCGCCGATTGATTTTAATCGATGAATGCGACGAGTATGAACAGAGAGGTGCAGCATGGGGCGGGGGGTTCGTGAGGACCAGAGTGGATGACGGACACCTGCAGCTACCCAGACACATGTAACATGTGTGCCCTGTGTGCATTCATGTGTGTGTGTGTGCGTGTGCTCGCGTGTATCCACAGCTGAGTGGCTACTGAGATTCCTGGACGGAGCTCGGCTCGGTGATGCAAAGAAAAGGATCCCCCGTGTAGCCTTGAACAGACTTTTGGGGAAAGTGCTGTTGGCTAGCACTTACGAAGGCCGTAAACACGGACACACACACGCGCGCGCACGCGTCTTCCAAGCTGAGCGTGGGATGCGTGACTCACCTCGCACTCGGGCCCTGCGGTATGACCTTGCTTAGAGAGTGGGGTGCATAAACATTAGGCTGGGGCGGGTGCATGATGCAGCCAATGCTAAGCAAACTTTACACGTTGAATGCTAAACACAAGGAGTACCGACGCGATCTGCTTGTTGTCTCTCGTGCCTTCTCCCATGCCACATGTGTAAATGTTGTAACCGCCACGTTTTTGACTCGGCAGTTGGAATTCTAGAACTGTGGTCCCTTGGCCCAACGATGGCTCGTCCGTACCACTTGGGGTGGCAAATGATACCGATGATTTTACGGAATAGCATTTCACCTCCAGATCGGAACACATTCACGATAGCGAAATTGCCGTGGCAGCTTCGCCCGAGACGTGCCGTTAGAGACTGGATATGCGGCGGTGGTGATATTGAAAGAAAACAAAAATGGAATCGGAATCTAACGTGGATTATCCGCGGAAAATCAACGCGGTGCACGTCTCGAACTTAGACGGCGTGTCCACCGGGGCTCGATACTGCCCATGGTGGGCACTGTCCATGATGGGCGGGCGCCGCCCATGGTGGACACTGCCCATGGTGGACACTGCCAATTGGTAGCGTTTCCCTCCCCACCAAGTGGTACCCTCTCTGGCAGCTTCTAACCACGAGGCCCGAGATGCGGCGATAAAAGCCGGCTCGCGTCGCCATCGTTGCCAAAACACCGTAACCTTTGTATTTTATAACTCCTATCTTGTTTTGCTCACTATATATTTGAAGGGTTAAACCCCAAACCCGTTTCACTCCCCCTCCCCTCCACGAGTGGCCTGCCAATTAGGCTTCAGATTCCCAACAGGACGAGGCTTTGGGGGAACCCGCACTGCTAAGATTGCTGCAGCCTGCATGCGATGCCTGCCGACGTGAGACCACGTCAGGCCATTTAGGATGCGGGATCCATGCCCCCGTGATGCCGTGTGTGTGTGCGTGTGGTACCCTGTTTACTCGTCGTTTCCGGCTCAGCCGGAACGGCACTGTGTCAGGAATTATTCGGGCCACGCCGACACATCCATTCGCTCGCCTTTTTCTGTCCTCATGAGTCCACGCATTTCGTTTGTTTTATGCGCCCCGCTCGTACGATTGTGGCCATGCAACCGAAACTATGGACCGCAGAGTAAACCCATAGAGACTCATAGAGATACACAAGAGACAGAGAGCCAATAGAGATACATAGCGACCCATCGACTCGTAGATACATGTAGACCCATCGAGAATAACACAGATATACACGGAGAGACACAGAGAGATACATTGAAGACAAACCACTGTGGTTGTGGTCATGCAACTCACAATGTGGACTACACGGTAAACCACCGTAGTCTGTGCTCCTTCAATGCAGGAGGAGGAGGAACAGCAAAGTGACACGAACTCTCTCTCTGCTGAAGCCCTCTCGTCATGGCCAGCACCAGCAGGACCTCGACATTGGCTTCGAGCTCCTGACCGCTTCTGCCATCATACACAAAAACAGAATAGGATTGATGCAATGTAGTGTACAATAATGAATGCATTATTATGGACAGGCAGTACCTTTAAGTCTTAGTGTTAGTAACTTAGGGGCCGTTCATGAATGGCGTCACGCACCTGGGAGGGGGGGGGGGTCAGACATTTGTGACGATGTGTGACGACGGGGGGAAGGGGGGTTTGGGAAATGTGACGTCACGTGAAAATGCAACTTTAAATACATATAGACAACACGTTCTACTTAATTAAATAGACTTTTTAATGTTTTCTCCTACAACATCAGAGTGCAGCGCCACATTAAATACACACTAGAATGGCAATAGTTTAAAGCGATTTGAAGCATGTTTTATTTTTGGGGGGTGGTGGACAGAACTTTGTGACGTCATATTTGAGGGGGGGGGTCTGACTTTTTGTGACGCCTGTGTGACTAGGGGGAGGGGGTCAAAAATCGTCCAAAATCGCAGTGACGTCATTTATGGACTGGCCGCTTACGCCCAATAATCCCTCCTCCCAAGCTAACCTAGCAGCAACGTTCCGAAACATATGGCGTGAGAGACCAAGCCATGTACGGCTCCTTTGTAATCCACTGCTGGATGAAGGCCTCCCCACAATGCACGCCTTGTCATTTGGGGGGGGGGGAACATTTGACCATACTTCACCACGCCGGTCAGTGCGTTTTTTTTCTCGAAGATGGGCGGCATAAAACACATCTGAGCATAGGAGTGCAATACAACAAGGCAGGTTGCCATGCTGGTCCTGCTCAGCGCACCGCCTCGATGACCCACGGGCACCCCCAAGACGCCCATGGTCACGCGCGAATCAGAATACACATATATAATAGTCCAGATCTGTCATGCTGTCATTCTGTGACTGTGATTAACGCCCCCGGATTGGTTGAAGTGCGTCACGTGACCGCGAGCAAGCAGCCAACCAGAGGTGCACCCCTCCAAAACATGTACGACCCCGGATTGGTTGAAGTGCGTCACGTGACCGCGAGCTGCCCACTTCGTGTTGTTGTGGTGCGCCCCGTACCTTGGAGGCCCGAGAAGCAGCAACATCACGGCCACAGCGCCGGGGACGCAGCCACGGAAAGCTGACGGTCGAGCCACTCACACACGGCTCACTCATACACACAGCTCACAACAACAACAACCGCCATTCGCCACTAAGTGGCGGTGACGTCACCACAACGCTTGTGCCAGGCCATGTGCACCTTGAGGCCACGTGAAGTGTCGAACGCCCGCTGGGAGGTCACGGGGCAGACCCAGGTGCCACGGGTCGACTGAGATGACTGGCTGATGCACCACCTGTGCCCCCTACTGTACCAACTCACTCACACTCACTCACACACAATCGCATGCAGCTCAGAGCAGACGGGTGAGTGAGAGTGAGGAAGCTGACGGTCGATCCACTCACACACAGCTCACTCACACACGGCTCACTCACACAATCGCATGCAGCTCAGAGCAGACGGGTGAGTGAGAGTGAGGCAGAGCCGTGCTCTGTCCACTGCTGCCCTGAGGGACCCCCGTGCTCTCCACTGCTGGCTGGAGAGCCGTGCTCCGTCCATTACATTAGTACTCTAGTTTGGTGCTTAAATCCACTGCTGGATGAAGGCCCACCGCACGCTGTGTGAGTGGATCGTAAGGATTTGCTTGAACAGTCTGTTGGGGGGTGCCGCAGGCTGTGGTTGTTCGAGGATGCTGTAGGCTGTTGTTGGGGGGCGCCATAGGCCATAGGCGCCCCCCAACAACTTAGTAAGAATATATTTTAACATATAAAAAGCGAGAACCCTGATGTCACGCTAACTCCGTAACGCTATCATTAATAATCACGAGCGGGTGACGTCACTCCACATGTAGCACCCCCTCTCAATAATAATGAGCGGGTGACGTCACTCCACATGGAGCACCCCCTCTCAATAATAATGAGAGAGTGACGTCACTCCACATGTAGCACCACCTCTCAATAATAATGAGCGGGTGACGTCACTCCACATGGAGCACCCCCCCTCATTAATAATGAGAAGGTGACGTCACTCCACATGGAGCACCCCCCCTCATTAATAATGAGCGGGTGACGTCACTCCACATGGAGCACCCCCCCTCATTAATAATGAGAGGGTGACGTCACTCCACATGGAGCACCCCCCCCTCATTAATAATGAGCGGGTGACGTCACTCCACATGGAGCACCCCCCTCAATAATAATGAGCGGGTGACGTCACTCCACATGGAGCACCCACCTCATTAATAATCATGAGCGGGTGACGTCACTCCACATGGAGCACCCACCTCATTAATAATGAGCGGGTGACGTCACTCCACATGGAGCACCCACCTCATTAATAATCATGAGCGGGTGACGTCACTCCACATGAAGCACCCACCTCATTAATAATGAGCGGGTGACGTCACTCCACATGGAGCACCCCCCTCATTAATAATCATGAGCGGGTGACGTCACTCCACATGGAGCACCCCCCTCATTAATAATCATGAGCGGGTGACGTCACTCCACATGGAGCACCCCCCTCATTAATGATCATGAGCGGGTGACGTCACTCCAGATGGAGCACCCCCCTCATTAATAATAATAAGCATGAAACGTCACCACATGGAGAACTGCCCCGCCATTAATAATAATGATCGGATGACGTCACTCCACATGGAGCACCCCCCCCCTCATTAATAATCATGAGCGGGTGACGTCACTCCACATGGAGCACTCTCATTAATAATCATGAGCGGGTGACGTCACTCCACATGGAGCACCCCCCTCATTAATAATAATGATCGGATGACGTCACTCCAGATGGGTGGGGGAGCCTCCTCCCTCCTCACCAAGAACTTAACCCTAAAAAAAACCAGAACCCTCAAGTCACGCGAACTCCGTAACGCTGCTGAGACATAGAAGCAAAAAAACGACGTCATGATGAACAAGGGATATAATCTTGATTTAAAGCTTGCGTGACTGCAGGGATTCATATTCTTGGTTCTTTCGGTAAAGTCACGTAGAAGGGAACTATTAAAATAATATAAATATAAAACAATAAAAATTCTCACGACGTTTCGACTGCAACACGAGCAATCATCACCTGATGGATCGTAAGGATTTACTTGACCAGTCTGTTGGGGGCCGCCGCAGGCTGTGGTTGTTTGCTTGTGTTGCAGTCGAAACGTCGTGAGAATTTGTATTGTTTTATATTTATATTATTTTATTATCTCCCTTCTACGTGACTTTACCGAAAGAACCAAGAATAAGGGATATAATCGTCAAATAAAATAGAGTCTGTGTTACCGGTCTTACAAATTGCACACTTATGGATGCACTGAATATGATGTCACAGTCTGCTTTTCGCTTGAATATTTCAGATGTACTGCGATACACCCGTCTTTAGACGGGCTGTGGGCTAGTTTATTTATAGTCGAGGAGGAATCCGATGAGCTATAAAGCTCTTTTTCACAGATGTCCAGTAGGGGCACGGGGTCAGAAGGTTACTACTACAGCAAACAATATAACAACACGATAGGAATGCGAAGTATAGGAAAGGTAAACAAACCACTTACAAATATAAACAATTTTTTTTTTATCTTACCATTTAAAGCCCACTGAGCTATTAACTTATTTTTCAGAAGCGACCTGGCCACAAATGATAGCTCACCAAAGTGACTTATCATGTGGAAATGTATTGTAGCAAAATAATCTAAATGCATGCTTCTAAATGTGGAGCCAAAACCGGAGGACCCGGAGAAAAAAAATCTACACGACCACGGGGAGAGAGAGACACCACAAACTCCAAATATACAGCAGGTGTCAGTGTCGGGATCGAACCCACGACCTCCTGTCTACCAGACGAGGTAGTTAACATCTCGCCACCATGCAAACTCCAAATATACAGCAGGCGTCAGTGTCGAGATCGAACCCACGACCTCCTGCATACCAGGCGAGGTAGTTAACATCTCGCCACCATGCAAACTCCAAATATACAGCAGCAGGTGTCAGTGTCGGGATCGAACCCACGACCTCCTGTCTACCAGGCGAGGTAGTTAACATCTCGCCACCATGCAAACTCCAAATATACAGCAGGCGTCAGTGTCGGGATCGAACCCACGACCTCCTGTTTACCAGGCGAGGTAATTAACATCTCGCCACCATGCAAACTCCAAATATACAGCAGGTGTCAGTCAGTGTCGAGATCGAACCCATGACCTCCTGTCTACCAAGCGAGGTAGTTAACAGCTCGCGCCACCGTGACGACTGGGCCACTCACGGCTGTCACTAACAGCGAGGTGAGCAACAGCGGACTCCTCCTCGCAGCCTCTGTGTTGTATCCGCCGTGTGTGTGCGTGCGTGAAATACACGTCGTGCCCTGTGCCTCCTTACCCGGACTCTGTGTGCGTCCTTTATATAATAATCATAATCTATAATAGAGGAGGGGGAGGGAACTTTGTTGGGTTAGATTGCGTAAATATAAATGTGTCGTTAAACCCGCCACCACCCGGCACGGCCAACTTGGCGTAGGTTTGTCACATAAACAAAGCGTGCCAATTAGTTACTAGTTCAGCACTAACGGGTTGTGTGTTTTGGGCGAGTAAACCCACTACAACATTTTCCAATTCGAGTCCCGTGACGTTTCGTCGGTAATTACAACCAGCATCATCAGGCGACAGCCGGAATTGTGGAGAAATCCTCCTGTGCATCTAACCTGATCTAACCCAATAAACCCCCCCCTCTATTATGGATATTGGTCGCGAAAGCAGACGTGTTAAATCAGAATCTACTTCAAACTTGATTTGGAGCTTTCGTGACTGCAGGAATTACTCTTTGGTTCTTTCGGTAAAGTCACGTAGAAAGAAAAAATAAATTAAATAGCATACGACGTTTCGATTGCAACGCAAGCAATCATCATCAGGTACAAATGAAAGAGAAAACAAAACCTAGAAAAACTTAGAAATGTAATGTAATACAACAGAGAGTCGGCTAACATAACAGTCAACACCCTGCCTGGTTGATGACGTTCTTCCAAAGATTGCTAAATTTGAGAGAGAGAGACAAAACACAGACACTGAGACACAGACAGACACATAAGCAGAGAGATACAACACAGAGACACACAGAGAGAAACACACACATAGGCACACAGAGAGAAACAGAATATACATAGTTTATTATATTATTACAATTTACTTATTTAACCAGGAGAGCCACACCGAGTCGTATGACTCTTCCTGGGCAAGGTCCATTGGGTGGTTATATTGGAGGCCCATCTAAAGGGACGAATTCTCAAGACAGACGTCTAAACGTTACTCCAAACGTGTCGGATTGTCTTGCGTGACTTTACCGAAAAAACCTAAGAATATGAATCCTTGCAGTCACGAAAGCTTCAAATCTAGAATTAATGGCAAAAGCGTTGTTCCAAAGCCTGGAATCTGCACAGTGGCGAAAACCCCGATCAGCCCAGGAACAGAGCCTTGACATCGGAGTGGTTATAAGAAGGCTGTCCGCAGATCTCAAAGGGGACTCGTTCGATATTAAAGATTGTTGGATTAATTGCTGGAAATATTGAACGTTAGACGGCGAAAGCCCCCCCCCCCTCTCCACCAAGAAATGTCTATTACTATTAGAACTATTTTATTTTACCAGGTATGGCCCATTGAGCTATATTGGGTTTTTTTTCAGAAGCGACCTGCCTGGCTTTCACAAATGATAGCCCAAAGAAGTGGCTTATCATTGCGTGGAAATGCTTGTCAGCCAAATACTCCAATGGTTCTAAATGTGGAGGGGAAAACCGGAGGACCCGGGGAAAAATCCACGCGAACACGGGGAGAGCAAGAGAGAGACACGCAAACTCCAAATATACAGAAGGCGTCTGGGTCGGGATCGAACCCACGACCTCCTGTGTACCAGGCGAGGTAATTAACATCTCCTAACCACCGTGATGATGATGATGAGACACACAAACTCCAAATATACAGACGTCAGGGTCGACCTACTGCATACCAGGCGAGGTAGTTAACATCTCATAGCCACCGTGGTGATGATGATGATGATGATAGAGACACACAAACTCAAAATATACAGAAGGCGTAAGGGTCAGGATAGAACCCACGACCTCCTGCATACCAGGCGAGGTAGTTAACATCTCCTAGCCACCGTTGTGATGATGATGATGAGAGAGACACGCAAACTCCAAATATACAGCAGCAGGCGTCAGGGTCGGAATCGACCCACGACCTCCTGCGTACCAGGCGAGGTAGTTAACATCTCATAGCCACCGTGGTGATGATGATGAGAGAGACACACAAACTTCAAATATACAGCAGGTGTCTGGGTCGACCTCCTGCATACCAGGCGATGGAGTTAACATCTCCTAGCCGCCGTGATGATGATGAGAGAGACACGCAAACTCCAAATATACAGCAGCAGGCGTCAGGGTCGACCTCCTGCATACCAGGCGAGGTAGTTAACATCTCATAGCCACCGTGATGATGATGATGATGATAGAGACACACAAACTACAAATATACAGCAGCAGGCGTCAGGGTCAGGATCGAACCCACGACCTCCTGTGTACCAGGCGAGGTAGTTAACATCTCCGAGCCACCGTGGCTTCCAAAGGGGCCCTCCCCACAGTGGCCGAGCAGCAGCAGCAGCATTGGAGCCGAGGCACCCGGGAAGACCACCAGCACCACCAGCATCAAGACGAAGAAGAAGCAGAACGAGAAGTGTTCACTCGTTGTTTATCTTTAAAGATCTCTAAACATCTCTAAAGATAAACAACGGGGGAGGCGGCGGGGGGGGGAGGCGGCCGTGGGCGCCATCCGTTGCCAAGCGCCGCCGTTGCTAGAGCCGCGCCGAGCTGGGCGAGTGGCGTGGTGAGTCTCGTGGTGAGTGTGCCTGTGTGTGCGTGTGTGTGTGTATGTGTGTGTGCCTGTGTGTGGTGTGGTGTGTGTCTGTGTGTGTGTGCGTGTGTGGTGTGTGCCTGTGTGTGGTGTGGTGTGTGGTGTGCGTGTCTGTGTGTGTGTATGTGTGTCTGTGTGTGTGTGTGGTGGTGTGTGTGCGTGTGTGTGTATGTGTGTGTGTGCCTGTGTGTGGTGGGTCTCTGTGTGTGCATGTGTGTCTGTGTGGTGTGTGTGCGTGTGTGTCTGTGTGGTGTGTGTGCGTGGTGTGTGCGTGTGGTGTGTATGTGTGTGCGTGTGTGCCTGTGTGTGCATGTGTGTGGTGTGATGTGTGTGTGTGCGTGTTTGCCTATGTGTGTGTATGTGTGTGTGTGCCTGTGTGTGGTGTGTGTGTGTGTGCGTGTGTGTGGGATGTGTGCCTGTGTGTGGTGTGGTGTGTATGTGTATGCGTGTGTGCCTGTGTGTGGGGTGTGTGTGTGTATGTGTGTGTGTGCCTGTGTGTGGTGTGTGTGTATGTGTGTGCGTGTATGTGTGTGTGTGCGTGTGTGTGCGTGTGTGCCTGTGTGTACGTGTGTGCCTGTGTGTGGGGTGTGTCTGTGCGTGTCTGTGTGTGCGTGTGTGGTGTGTTTGTGCGCCTGTATGTGGTGTGGTGTGTGTGTATGTGTGTACGTGTGTGCCTGTGTGTGGGGTGTGTCTGTGCGTGTCTGTGTGTGCGTGTGTGTGTGGTATGTGTGCGTGCCTGTGTGTGGTTGGTCTGTGTGGTTAGTGTGTCTGTGCGTGTGTGTGGTGTGTGTGCGTGTGTGCCTGTGTGTGGTGTGTGTCTGTGCGTGTCTGTGTGTGGTGTGTGTGCGTGTGTGTGTGGTATGTGTGCGTGTCTGTGTGTGGTGTGTCTGTGTGGTTGGTGTGTCTGTGCGTGTGTATGTGTACGTGTGTGTGCGTGTTTGTCTGTGTGTGGTGTGTGTCTGTGTGTGGTGTGTGTGCGTGTGTGGTGTGTCTGTGTGCGTGTGTGTCTGGTGTGTGTGTCTGTGTGCGTGTGTGGTGTGTGTGCGTGTGTGTTTGTCTGTGTGCGTGTGTGGTGTGCTTGTGTGTGCGTGTGGTGTGTGTGTGTGTGCGTGTGTGTGTGTCTGTGTTCGTGTGTGTCTTCGCCGGTTGGAAACATTTAGGCTGGCCTGCCTACGATCCATCCTGGGTTTAACCTGTAGGCTGGATTGTGTGAGGAGCTCACAAATCCTTGAAAGATCTGGGCAAAGTCCCATCGGTGAGCTCCTCCGGCAGGCAAGGCTGCGTTGGCTGGGTCATGTAGCCCGCATGCCCAGCCACCGCATGCCTAAACAGCTTTTGTTCGGCCGGATCGAGGGGGCTAAACGGGCGCGGCACGGGCTAGAGAAGAGATGGAGTGATGGGTGAGTGGGTGAGTGCGTGGGTGAGTGAGTGGGTGAGTGAGTGGGTGAGTGGGTGGGTGAGTGAGTGGGTGAATGAGTGACACGGGCTAGAGAAGAGATGGAGTGATGGGTGAGTGAATGAGTGGGTGAGTGGGTGAGTGAGTGGGTGAGTGAGTGAATGAGTGGGTGAGTGGGTGGGTGAGTGGGTGAGTGCGTGAGTGAGTGGTTGAATGAATGAGTGGGTGAGTGGGTGAGTGAGTGGGTGAGTGAGTGGGTGAGTGTGTGAGTGACACGGGCTAGAGAAGAGATGGAGCGATGTGGTACAGGAGGATGTGGAGCTGAGTGGACTTGCCGATGACTGGTACCAGCGGTGTCAAGATCGGCCTCTGTGGAGGAGGCTCGTGAAGGACGCTACTGGGCAGTTGGAGGCAGTCGCCCTCCAACAACAACGGAGGGCGGAGGAGCGACGCTCACAACAACGAGCGGAGCGCCGGGTGGATAAAACGCGGCGAAGTTGGCACAGTCGTGTTCACAGGTGGTGCATCTGCGGGTAATCCCCGCCAGTCAACCCATGGCACCTGCAGGGTCGGTCTCGTGACCGCCTGCCAGCAGAGAGCCTTCACCACATCACGTGGCCTCAAAGTGCACCTAGCCTGGCACGGGCACCGCGGTGACGCCACTGCCACTCCGTGGCGAATCCGCTGCAGCTACCTGAGTTTGGTTCCTGCTCACGGCCAACGCCAGTGACGATTATTTGAACCGGTCCTGGGCCTCTCCTAGGTCGATTCAGCCCCAAATGAGTACCCGGTGTGGTGTCTAAAACATCGCCACTGGGGAGACAAAGGCGGTAGGGCGTAGTGTTGGCCACCCACGCCCTCGTGTGCCGTGCCGGCCTTCATAGGTGCTGCTCGCTCACAGCACTTGCCCCTACAGTCTGTTGAGGCTACACGGGGTAATCTTTGTCATTCATGAATGTTTGACCATACTTCACCGCGCTGGTCAATGCGGGTTAATGAAGACGGACAGCATGGGCACAGGGCGACTGCCTCCAATGGTAGCGTCCCCACGAGCCTCCTCCACAGAGGTCGATCTTGACACCGCTGGTACCGGTCGTCGGCAATTCTACTCAGCTCCACATCCTCATCTACCGCATCAGCCCATCTCCTCCCCCATCTCTTCCTCCAGCCCATCTCCTCCAGCCCATTTACCCCCTTCCATCTACCTGATGACGAGTGCTTGTGTTGCGATCGAAACGTCGTGATTTATTATTTATTGGTTCTTTCGGTAAAGTCACGTAGAAGGGAAATAATAAAAGAATAAAAATATAAAACAATAAAAATTCTCACGACATTTCGACTGCAATGATGATTGCGAAAGAACCAAGAATATGAATCCCTGCATTCATGAACACTTTAAATCAAAACGTATTATTTATTTTTCTACTTATGTGACTTTACCGAAAGAACCAAAGAGTACTATTCTAATTTTTCACGTCTGTTTCATTGTCATCAAGGGTAAAACCTATTCTTATTTTTCATAGTATGATATCAGTGTGTATAGGCAGAAACGGATGTCTGCGAGTAGATTCGCATACGTGCCCTGAAAGCGGTGACCGTATAAATGCACGTACGTTGAAATGCGGTCCAGCAATGGGATATGTCTTGCTGCAATTTCCCCACAATCTTTGACGCGTGAAACGTGCGTCTGAATTCGCGGCAGGGCCCGTCGCCGTTTGTGCCGAACGCGGTTTGGTGGCCTCTGCGCGTACCACATGGCGAACGTTGGAGCGACGCGCGCAGAGCAGCAAGGCAAACTCACGCCCGAGGACGCCCGGTCACTCGGCAAGAGCCCCGTGTACGGAGTGCGGTGGCTGGACGCGTGTCTGCAAGAGACTCTCCTGCCAGGCGCGTCCTGGCACAAGGTCAGCGTGGATCCGGGTGGATGCGCGCGTATGTGCGCGCGAGCGGTAGTGGAGCGGGTAGCGCACTGCGCTACGAACCCGGCGACCCGAGTTCGATTGCCGCTCACGCAAATCATTGGTGGTGATTGTCTGCACCGGTCCTGGGCCTCCCCTAGATCGACTCGGCGTCAAATGAGTACCAGAGAACATGGCGGCCGAGCATGTTGTTGGCCACCAACCACCCCGTGTGACGTGCCGTCCTTTATAGGTGCTCTCCTAACAGCACTTGCCCCAACAGTCTGTTCAGGCTATATGGGGGATCTTTGTTTTCTCTTCCGAGCTCTGTGACCGTTCAAAAAGGCAAAGTGATTTCCCGCTCGGTTCGTTGATTCCGTTCCATCGGAAGCTGTTGGTGATGCCGGTTTGGCCGACAGCCGTTCCTCGATTTGGTTTGTGCAGATCTCAACGGAGGTCTCATCAGAAGCCCTCGACACGAGGAAAAGGTCACCGGGTAAAGAGCACCACGGTCAGAGGTCACCGAATGAAGGTTAGTGCACGTCATCACGGCTGCCACCTCTGAGATAGAGAACCTCGCCGTGAAGGCGACTGTGCAATGAGTTCTGTGCGCTCGTAAAGCCGTCGACTTATTGCTCGCCGTCTTTCATTCAATACGGTTGCTGGGCACAGACCCAAAACACCAAGCGGCCAGCAACAAGCGACACTGTCCATGTTATAAGAGATCGAGGCATTATTAAACTCACTTATTTTCCGAGCTCACCCCACGCCCCCTTAATCTCCCGCTCATAACCGCCACCTTTACCATTGCATGGCTATCACTCATGAACCTTATTCATTCAGTCCATTCATCGTCATTTGCTGTCATCAGTTTGGCTTTCACGTAATTCACGCACCACAGATTTGCCACCATTGCTTCCTCTCATCTATTTTATTCACAATTACGTTCACATGCTGTACCATTGTTAATTTTGTGTCATGTGCCTTGGATAAGGTGCTATATAATTTATTTTAAAATAAGAATCGAGCAAGGTTATTATTGTTATAAGAGGGTGGGTAGAGAAGAGACAATGATGATGGAAGGAGGGAATTCCACAGCAGAGTAGTGCGAGGAAAGAAGCAGAGAGAGAAGTGAGGTGACTTGCAGTGTGGTGAGTGGGTGGGTGGGTGAGTGGATGAGCAAGGAGTAGGTTAGTGCGTTGCTTTGACCTGCAGTGTGGTGATTAAGTGAGTAAGTGATGAGTGGGTGTGTTGTTGTGACCTACAGTGTGGTGAGTGGGTGGATGAGTAAGTGGTTTAGTTATTTGCTGTATCCTGCAGTGTGGTAGGTAAGTAAGTGATGAGTGCGTTAGTAGGTTAGTGTGTTGCTTTGACCAGCAGTGTGGTGATTAAGTGAGTAAGTGATGAGTGGGTGTGTTGTTGTGACCTGCAGCGTGGTAAATGATGAGTGGGTGAGTGGGTTAGTGTGTTGCTGTATCCTGCAGTGTGGTGAGTAAGTAAGTGATGAGTGGGTTAGTGGGTTGTAGTGACCTACAGTGTGGTGAGTGAGTGGGTGATTGTGTTGTCGTGACCTGCGGTGTGGTGGCGCTCGACCGCAGCGTGGATGAGACGGAATAAGTCAGTCCCATTGACATGAGCCACATCTTCTCAAACTGTAGAAGTGTACCTCCAAAACCGACACCCCGTGTGTATTTACGAGACCGTGACACGTGTGAGCACGAGGTCTCCTGATTGTGTGGAACTGCCCGCGTCGCGCGAGCTCCCCGTTGACGAGGAGGAGGAGCCGTTTGCCTCATCTCTCATCCCCTCCCAGACTCCGTGGCGGCGTTCGTGGACGGCACCCGCGTTGCGGTCGCTGCCGCGGCCAGAAGGGCGATGGCGCAGGAAGCGGCGCACCAAGGGGAGCCGGTGCGCCGCTCGGTTGGGCTGCAAGGTGAGGGATGTCGCAAGGAGGGATTCGTGGCCATTGTTACGATTAATGGCCATTGTTACAATTTGCAGCCATTGTTATGATTCGTGGCCATTGTTACGATTCACAGCCATTGTTACAATTTGCAGCCATTGTTATGATTCATGGCCATTGTTACGATTCGCGGCCATTGTTACGATTTGCAGCCATTGTTATGATTCATGGCCATTGTTACGATTCGCGGCCATTGTTACGATTCGCGGACATTATTACGATTCACAGCCATTGTTACAATTTGCAGCCATTGTTATGATTCATGGCCATTGTTACAATTTGCAGCCATTGTTATGATTCGTGGCTATTGTTACGATTCGTGGCCATTGTTACGATTCGCGACCATTGTTACAATTTGCAGCTATTGTTATGAATTGTGGCTATTGTTATGATTCGTAGCCATTATTACGATTCACAGCCATTGTTACAATTTGCAGCCATTGTTATGATCCATGGCCATTGTTACGATTTGCAGCCATTGTTACAGTTTGCAGCCATTGTTATGATTCATGGCCATTGTTACGATTCAGAGCCAGGTTAGTGTGTTGCTGTATCCTGCAGTGTGGTAGGTAAGTAAGTGAGATTAGATTAACATGCGTCTTGAATCGAGCAAGGTTATTATTGGTATAAGATACAATTCATGGCCATTGTTAAGATTCACAGCTATTGTGAAGTGTCGAAGGCTTGCTGACAGGGGGTCATAGAACAGGCCTAGATGCTATGGGTTGGCCGACTGAGATGACTGCCACATGCACCGGCTTTACCCCCTAATCACACCAACCGCTATGGCAGCAGCGTCCGTTGTTTACGTAAGGTGTGCTTCTGTGCGGCTTCCTCCGTGCGTGTCAGGCAGTGCTGTGCAGTGGCCTCGTGTTGTGAAACTGGGACCCCCCTCCCTCTGCCAGGCTCCAGGAGCGAGCTGCTGGGAGAGTCTATGTGCGCCGTGCTGGGGGTCGGGCCTGAGTGCCTGGACAGAGTGTGCTCGCGGCTCACGGGCAAACTCCTCCCGGCACGGCTCCGTGGAGAAATATGGTGCCGGTCTCTTGGGTTTGTGACGCTGTTATAAATTTTCACATAAGCCACTTCGTTGAACTATCATTTTCACCCATTTTCACCCCGGGGTCGCTCGCTCGCCTCCTTGTCGCTCGTCTGTCGCCGTGGTTGCTGTTCCCAAGAATCTCGCTCATTGATTCCCCCACCCGCATTGAGAGACGCGGTCTCTAGCAGGCATTGTTTCATCTCATCCGTACTGTGGTCAACCGCCACCACACTGCAGGTCGCAAGGATACATTCACCCACTCATTCACTCGCTCATCCAGTCACCCGCTCACTCACTCACTCATGTTTTACTATGCACCATGGCTACTGTTCCCATGGACTTTGCCCATTGCTTTCTTCAACCCATGTTGAGGGGTGTCACGGTGGCGAGCTGTTATATACCTTGCCTGGTATACAGGAGGTTGTGGGTTCGATCCCGACACTGACGCTTGCTGTATATTCGAAGTTTGCATGTTCTCCCCGTGGTGGCATGGATTTTTCTGCAGGTCCGCCGGTTTTTCCCTCCACATTTAGAAACATGCGCTCAGAGTATTTGGCTGTTATAATTTTCACATAAGTCACTTCGTTGAGCTATCATTTGTGGCCAGGTCGCTTCTGAAAAAGAGCTGTATAGCTCAGTAGGCCTTACCTGGTAAAATAATAAAAATTGTTTAATAGTTTTAAGACGATGCGATCTCGTAACAGACTCTGACTGTTGTTTTCTCATCCATCCTGTGTTCAACCACCACACACCTAGTAAATGTTACAGCCTCACATCGGTTCTCTGCTGTGTCCCCTTGGTGTGGAACTCTCTATATCCCTTTGCAGATCCGCAACATGAAATGCACTCTGATTTTTAAGAAACATCTCCAGGCCTCTATCTATTTGGTCTCCGCGCCTCTGAGTTGTGGACTTGTCTGCAAAATCTGCCGTGTTATAAATGTCATTATTATTATGAACTGAACCAGTTGTTAATAATGAAATGGTAACCAGTTACCGGTTAACAAGCCCGGCTGTTCCACAGGGGTGCGTGCGAGGGGGAGGCGTGGGAGCAGTTCAGGCGGAAAGTGTGGCGTGGCGTGGATCAGATGGGGATGACGCACGCCACGCAATCTCCCGTCGCACACCTCATCCGCAACACGGTGACGGAGGTGAGTGGGTGCGCACCGACCCTGCGCGCAAAATCAACAGCAGCAGCCGCCATTCGCAAATATGTGGTGGGAACGGCACCGCGGCGCTTGTGCCAGGCTAGGTGCAGTTTGAGGACATGACGTAAAGTGTGGAAGGTCATGGGACAGACCCATGGTGCCATGGGTTGACTGACTGAGATGATTGACAGATGCTCAACTCGTGCTGCCCACTGTGCCAACTCGCTGCGTTTTACCCGCCCGGCGCTCTGCTCGTTGTTGCGAGTGCCGCTGCTCCTACCCCCGCCGTTGCTGGAGGGCGACTGGCTACGACTGCCCAGTAGCCTCAAGGTGCACATGGTGCACACACAGACATGGACACACTAAATGCAAATGGTCTGGATCAAAACACCAGAGAGTGTGCGTAGTTAATGAGCCAGCCGGGGGTTAATCGAGAGTGGGGCTGTTGCGGTGTGGTGGAGGCAACGGCCGCATGTCACCGATCGCAATTCGTTCATCTGGCGGGTCAGCAGACTGCAAGGCAAACAGTACATAGGCGATGCATCGTCGAGCGAACGTTCGTCACTCGCCACGTGCTCGCCCGTGCCTCCGTGTCGCCCACCCCCCCACCTGCGCAGAAGCTGCGTGGGAGCGGCTGGCTGCAGCGCACGTACATCTCGGGCGATGGGCTGGCATTCACGCTCGTGTGCGACGTCCTCAATGTGCTGTACACGCACGGCCGCGTGTACGCACCCCACCTCGTGTACCGCCTCGTGCCGCTGCACCTCGCCTTCGCATCCGGGCACCCGCACGGTGCGTGAGGGGGCGCCGGGGCCCCGACGGCCCTGAGCGCCGGGCGTCGACATCGTGTCGGTCAATAATGACAATGATATGTTTGTACGTATGGATGTTGAACTTCGTTCGTCACCGTACGTCATCAACCATGTTAATCGGAGGTGCCGGGGAAGGACAACAAATTAAACACAAAAAGCAGTTTTAAAGAAATGAAAGCGTTGAAGAGGTTTTCCTGTAAGAAGTGTACATTCACAGTGGGCTCTTTATTCAGCCTACGCACAAGCCACACGCAGTCGTGGGGAAGTAACGCCACGGCGACCCGAGCGGCCGTTAGCCCGTCCCTTTATCCCCTTTTGGGTCCCTCTCGATCCTTCCCACCCGTTCTCCACTTTACCCGCGCAGTCCTATCCCAGCCGCCACCAACCGCCCTGAAGGAACACCTTAACATCCTCTCTGCCAACGCCCCCCGCGGTTTCCCAATCGGACGCCCGCTCCATGGCCGGTTAATCGGCTTGTCTGGCTGGTGCGCGATGACCGGCGGCGTTCCTGACTGATTGTATTTTGAACGACGCGGCCATCAAAGCTGCTATTTGGCTGCGGCATAGTTCAATTTAATAATAGGTATACGTCTCTCGGTGATCCGGTAATCAGGCCCCGAGCATGATCCCGGTATTTATATCGTGCCCCAAAACGAAAAGCCTCGGGGCACAGTATCAAGGGGTTATTTTAGCCGAGAGGACATTTCAGCGGCAGCTGTCTCTATGCAACACAAAGTGAACGCAGCAAATGCTAGTAGTAGGCGATATTGCTTCTGTTATCCCGATTGAGTAATTGTCAGGTACATTTTCAGCATTACGCCCTTGTTTTTCCAATGCCGGTTACATTGTATGGAGGGATTTTTTGGCTATGGGAGGAAACCGGAGAACCCCGGAGCAAACTCGTGCAGAACAGGGGGTGAACATACACACACTGCACGCAGAAAGGCGCCCGCGTCGGCAAAATCGAACCCAGGGCCTTCATGCTGCGAGGCACGAACATCACCACTGCACTACCGCCACCCTGCATGCCTAACGCGGTTCGTCGGTGGATATTCTCACAGCTGTTCAGTTCATTTCAGTTAATTTATTTGGTACTAGCTGTACTACCCGGCTTCGCCCGGGACTTGGATCCATCACGCCCGGCCGCCTTTGTCTCCCCAGTGGCGATGTTCATACGCCACACCAGTTACTCGTTTTGAGGCTGAGTCGACCTAGGGGAGGCCCAGGACCGGTTCAAATAATCGTCACCGGTGGTGGCCGTGAGCGGGAATGGAACTCGGGTCGCCGGGTTCGTAGCGCGGCGCGCTAACCACGACACTACAATGCGTTACGCTTCCGTTATAGGGTTTGTGTAAGGCGCCGATCCGTTGTAGGATTTGTGTGAGGCGTACCGATCCGTTGTATGATTTGTGTGAGGCGCGCCGATCCGTTGTAGGGTTTTAGTGAGGCGCGCCGATCCGTTGTAGGGTTTTAGTGAGGCGCGCCGATCCCCCGCGCTACAATAATACTGTGTAATCGCTATAATTTTATTATCTACCGACCCTATAATAGTAATTGCACACATTGGGGTGGCGGGGGAGTGAAGAGGACGTGAAACTTTGATGAATTTACCTCAGAGTCGCGTGGTGGGTGTCGAGGCCTAGCACCGTGCAGAGCCTCCGGCCTCGCCTAAATTGCCCACCCGGCTGAGGCTGGGTACGGGTGCCGTTCCCCCCCCCCCCCCCCCGCGCTACAATAATACTGTCTAATCGCTATAATTTTATAATCTACCGACCCTATAATAGTAATTGCACACATTGTGGTGGGGGGGGGGGGGAGTGAAGAGGACGTGCAACTTTGATGAATTTACCTCAGAGTCGCGTGTTAATGCGTGCGCCTATTTTTAACGGGAATTAAAAATGGCGTCCACCCCGCGGCGAAAGCGTCGCTACCCGTTGCCAGGGGTAACCGCCGTCCAATGAAACTGCGTATGGTCCGGCGACACACAGACACACAGACAGACAGATTCGCGATTTTATATATATAGATAGCCCTGTGAGCCATTCAGCTCTTGAATCAAGTGCAACCGCAACAAACAAAAACATGAACAAGAAACATCTTAAAGGTCTCGATTTGAAGCTTTCGTGACTGCAAGGATTCATACTCTTAGGTTTTTTTCGGTAAAGTCACGTAGGTAAAAATTTTTATAAAAATAAAATAAAATAATAATAAATGAAAATAACTAAATTAAATCACGACGTTTCGGAAGCAACACAAGCCTCCGTCATCAGGTGTGACTGCTCCAGTAAAATTACGCTACAGTAATTTAGTTATTTTCATGTATTATTATTTTATTTTATTACGTGACTTTACCGAAAAAACCTAAGAGTATACATCTTAAAGTGACTACGCGCAATAGAAAAATCCAGGAAAAAACAGCAAAGTCTTCCAGAAAAAACACCGCATTTCAATGCTGTGTGCAAAAATCCCAGTGGGATGCAAGTCAAACAATAACAACCACAAGACAATTTAGATTAAAGTTATCAGTTTAACTCTATACAACAACAAAGAAATATGACTAATCCAAAACGTTTTCGAAATCACCAAAATAAAGCTATAAAAACAACGTAACAGTGATCATAGGAACTGTGATTCACATTTAACAATAAACGAAACACATAACATATACGACCAAACTTTGCAGCCATAGCTGGCAGCATGAGTCACTCCATAACAGCAGGAGTATCAGTAGGAGTATCAACATTTTTCAATGCCCCTTTAAAAATCAGCAGACTATAATCAAAACTCAAGATCATACTTTGCAGTGGTCACCCGGAGCGATACATTTGATTTCAGGCCACTGAATAGCAGTGGCAGCTAGGGCTGTACAACTCCTCTAGAGCAGTTTTCGTTTTGCCTTCCCATGCAAATCCGTCTCCGAGTCGTAACCGCCGCGTGTCCACCTCCCCCCCCCCACCGCTCGCCCCCCCCCAGAGGTCGCAACCGGGTACCGATACCCGTACCCTACCCGATACCCGGCTACCCGTACCCGACCGGGTACGGGTACCCGTTTGCGACTCTGGTGTGGCCGGGTACGGGTATGGGTAGACCGTGAGTCACTGGTGAGTAACTGTTTGTCACTCATTTCCCAACGTCTTGTCTCTTCTCACAATTTAAGTTCCTAGAATCAACCCACCCGCGCCTGCAACATGGCTTCATCCCAGAGGTCGCAATCAGGTACCTGTTGTATCCTAACCCTTCTTCCATAATTGAGATTAATAATATTTGATGATTTTTATATATTATCTTTTTACTTGTTTTTTTTAATGAGTGAAACACACCAAAGCGCACCAAACTGCAAAACACCAGGTGTTGTTAAGTAATGAACGAGAGGAGGGCTAGGATGACAGAATTGCAACCTTGCTTCAAGGCAAAGGCAGTGAAAGGAAGCAGAGGCGCCCTTGTCTAAGTCATAACCACAGAAAGCCAGGAATCATCACTGATTGTGTGTTAGGGATTCCGAGCTAATTAGAACACGTGCACACAGAAAGGGAGGTAGAAGCACGCCTTGTTCTCCTGCAGCTGAGGAAACATAGATAAACCCAAGAAGGCCTTGGACCTGAAATTAAGAATAACATTCCCAGAGCAGAAGGTTGGAGGGCCACAGAGAGCTGATTTAAAAAAAATGTTGTATATCTCTCAAGGCGGGCAGACCCAGCTAAATAACACGGCTGCGGGGGTCACCAGAAGTTCGCGTTCGCCTAGTTAAGACAAAAAGCTCAATTATTCTGTATTGCTATTAAAGTAACGTTAAAGTCGGAACCTAACAACAGGGTAGGCTAAAGTTTGATATTCACACCCACTCCAATTAAACCAGGTCACAAGTACGCCTACTGAACCATCACCATCATTAAGTCAATATGAAATGTTATTTCCATACTTTAATGCTTTCTATACAACTCGACCCGAAGCATATGCATGAAAAGACAAAAGTAAAACTTATGAAAAGCCAGGATAACGGGATGAATCACCACCAGGTCGAATATAAATACATAATAAAAAACGATGTTAAACCCAGGGTCGGAGAGAAAGGGAGATCCCGGCCGTCTTTGTATCCCCGCAGCGCGGGATAGGAGTGTGTATACGCTCGGGGAAACACCTACACTTGGGTCGGGAACCACGATGGGAAACGACAGACCTTAGGTTACATACAGAATCATAACTGTGAAATAGTAAGGGACAAATGTTAACTTAAAACTTTTTAACCATTTCTTTGTGCGCCGGGTCGGAGAGAGTGTTGCCCCTCCCTCCAGGTTGTGCAACACGAACAAAGACGCCTATGAGACGATTTGTAACGTCTGTGTTTTGGGTCATGAAGAAGGCCAGACAAGAGATAATATTGCACCCAGACAGAGAGACGACTTCGAGGCAATTTGTAACATCTGATTGTTTGCTCGTGGGTTTTATGGAGGGAGTGTGACAACGAATATACCGTCAGTGATGCACACAAGGACACACGGACATACGGACAGACACATGGACACACCTGCCTACGGACAGATCCTGACACAGCAAAAATCGGAGGAAGCCCCGCCTTGTGGGCGGGATCCAGGGGGAATTTTCGGCATAAAGTAAAGGATCCTGAGCATTGGAAACCAGTGCGACGGGAGGGTCCACTCAGGAGTGCGACGGGAGGGTCGACTCAGGAACGAGTGCGACCAGAGTGGGTCCACTCAGGAGTGCGACCAGCGGGTCCACTCAGGAGTGCGACCAGAGGGTCGACTCAGGAGCGAGGGCGACCAGCGGGTCGACCCAGGAGCGAGCTCGACCGGGAGGGTCGACTCAGGAGCGAGCTGCGACCAGCGGGTCGGCTCGACTCATCTTCAGCTCGTCAACCTCTGCCGAATCGGGGGTCTCTGCTGCCACCGGAGTGGTGAGCATCGCGGATCGGCGACAACCCAGAGCTGCACGCTACGAGCGAGTTGTGGGCGCCACCTACCG